TGACATGGTTGATTCAGCTCCTCAGTGGGAAGCAGTGCTGAGGAGACAAAAAGAAAAAAACCAAACTGAACCCACCAATCGGCGTTCCAGGCACAGATCACGATCGTATGTTGAATGCTAAACTTTTTGGACATCTAAAATGAGAAAAGTTACGCTTATTTAATATAATTTTTACTGGTTAGTTAAATACAATAGGAGAGACTCCCTCTTGTGGTCAATTTGAACCTTTTGAAAGCCAGATGTAGTTATTTTACAATATTGCAATAAACCTTAAGGAAAAGAATAACAAAAAAATTAAATGCTACAATGAAAGAATAGTTTGGTCTAATAAAAAAACAATTGCCCTGTTTGAGAGGGTTGAATACAGGAGAAAAGTATTAAGTGATATTTTTAAGAAAAAAAGCAAACATATAAACCCCCTTCATTTTCTATTGCTGTACAGGTCATCTGTATTGCCAAACAATTTTTAGACTTAACAGACGTACAAATCCTATAGTTAAATATTCAAAATAATATCTAGTTGCATGTTATTGATTTATATTGCATTTGATTAGGTATAATGACTGGATGCACAAACTTGTTTTGGGAGCTAGGAAAAATTAAATATGTTGTTAAAAATAGAATAACAAGATTTTCTCTTTAACCCCATGAAATGAATTTCACCTATTCAAATGTTCTGAAGAACAAGTTTGTATCGAGCCCATTAACTAAATACAGTAAAACCTTGATTTCATAGGCCTCCATTTAGCAGACTTGGGATATAAATTCCTTTCTGGACATCCTCCTGAAATAACAAAGTTTGTTGCATCTGAAGTAGTCTGCACCAACCAATTACATTTGTTTTAATTCATGGAGTTTGTTTCATTATTTGCATGATGATATCTCTGTGAAGAAGGCATAATTTGCATAAATGTATGATACCCTTATGCAAATTACATTATTTGCATCATTATGAAAATGAAATGAATTGCTGCAAAATGATACAGTTTGCAATTTAATGGACGTTTTGGTGTATCAAATCCAATGATTTGTCAAATCAACATTCTGTATTAGCCATTCTGTATTTCTGCCTGCTAAAACGTTGTCCCTCTCCTCCACCCCAGCAAAGCTTGAATTCCTGATGTAGCAATTGTATTATACAGAATAACATACAGCTGTTTTTCGGCTAGCAGAGAGAAAACTACGGTATGGCTATACCTACAGCGGCATAACATTTTCACCTAAAATGGAAAGTTGTTGTTAGTTCAAATGCTTATCACTCATTTTGGCTTATCAAAAGACTCAGGTCACTAGGGACTGTAAAATAATTAGATTTTTATTCTTCTTAAAATCTTTAAAAATATATAGTTTCTTATATTATCAAGACGTGGGTCACTGATGCCTTCTCTATAGTCATTAAAGGATATATTTCCTGGAATTGTTGTTTTGTTTTACAATGAAACCCAATTCTTCCAAAGCAAAAACGTACGTTTTTGTGTTTCTCCCCTTAAATAGCCAATTTGTTCCTTTTAGTCATGCAAGAATGGGTAGAGTGTATCCAGCCCTCGCAAACTGACTTTTAACTGTTTATATAGCACTCATAAGTACATTTTTTACATGGTTTGCAATAATAATAATAAAGATGCTATTGAATTTTGCTGTTGTCACTAATACAAGGAGGATGACATATGTAACATTTATTTTCTGTGTGTTGTATTGGATCTATATGTGACCTAATTAAGCTACTTATTCAGAGATGCATAAATAAGGCTACACAGTTTATTATAAATCAGAGTATCTTTTATCCATTATTTGCTTGTGACTCCCCCCCCCATGGTTCTTCAGCAAAGAGATATAAAAAGTCCTATGTTTGGGGGGGTGTTCATAGCCCAAGGATGCAGTTTATGACTACACTGAGGTCTGAGGGTTTTGTTTTGGATGGGTAATGGTGGCTGTAGGCAATTCACTAAAGCTTTCTTTCAGTATGGATTGTTTGTACTTGGTTCCTAGTTATATTACAGATGCAGAAGAGATGCTGATCCCTTCAGATGAGGGCAGAGTTCACAGCTGCTGCTTTGCATGAATGAGTCTCAGTGAAAAAAGGAAGAAGTTTAGCATTAAGTGTTGAGAAATGCTATTATCCCTCCTTTCCCTCCTCCACACCCCTGCACTAACCAATGTTCCTTAGGCAGACAGGGGTACAGAGGACATAAAAGGGAATGTACAAAGATTGGGGCGAGGGGACCAAGGTTGAAAAAAAAATGCAAAACAATGAAGAATATCTTTATGACCGGGAAGAAAATTTGGGCCGCAGTTCTCTTACCAGGGATCCACTACCTTTATTAGGTCAAGTGAAAGTTCAGATGATACAGATCGTCCTCAACTTACAACCACAATTGAGCCCAAAATTTCTGTTGATAAGTACAACATTTGTTAAGTGAGTTTTGCCCCATTTTACGACCTTTCTTCCCATAGTTGTTAAGTGAATCACTGCTGTTGATAAGTTAGTAACCCAGTTGTTAACTGAATCTGTCTTCCCCATTGACTTTGCTTGTCCAAAGGTTGCAAGAGGTGATCACATGACTTTGGGACGCTGCAACCATCCCAAGTATGAAGCAGTTGCCAAGCATCTGAATTCTGATCACATAATCATGGGAATGCTACAAAGGTTATAACTGTGAAAAGTGGTCGTGTGTCACTTTTTTCAGTGCCGTTGTAAATTTGAACAGTCACTAAATGAACTGTTGTAAGTCGAGGACTACCTGTATTTTCAAGTTTTCAGGAACTGTTTCATCCAACAAGGTGAACATCAGAAAAATAAGGGAAGAAGAAAGAAAAAAGTGGAGATTATTTATTTATTTAGCAAATTTCTACCCTGCCCATCTCACCTAAGTAAGAGACTAAGATCATATACACAACAGCTTTATCTCTTTTTCCTCTTGATTTTGAAATATTTTGCCTAATATAAATACTTCTATGAAACTATAAGACTTGCAGTTCTTTAATGCACCTTTCATTACAGTTAGTCCTTCACTTAACAACCAGTCATTTAATGGCTGTTTGTGATTACCATTTGCAATCTTCTATGCTGGCTTCTCCAGAAAGCCAATGGGAAAGCCAACAAGGAAGCTGCAGGTTGCAGGGATGGAGTATTTTAGGTCCATTCAAGCAGCACCCCAAGGGATTTCTCCTCCCCACACAACATTTCTCAGTGCGATGCAAGAACAAACCTCAAATTCTGAAGATTTGTTAGCTTTCAAGGGCTAGAAAGCTAGTGAATGCCATAATTCAGAACAATGGTGTTTGCTACCTTTCTAGCCTTCCTAGACTAGGAAGGCTAGCTAACATAATCACTCTCACAATAGTTTGGAAGGTCCCTTCTCCAAACTGCAGTTTGCAGAAGGAGCCTTCCTACAATTGTGAGAATGGAGCCCACTTGCAAGATGGTGCAAGGTGACCTTGGAAGGATGGCTGTACCTTGAATTGGGTGGGTGTACCTACAACTGCAGAAAAAGGCAAAAGTTAGTGGACCTGGGCATAGTTGGGCAGGGAGAAGGCCCTCTCCCGGGACTCTACTTAACAGCAACACAATCAGTTAACAACCGCAACTGAGAGAGCTGGGATTGTGGTTATTAGGCAAAGCAGTCACATGGATGTTTCACTTACTGATTACTCACTTAGTGAATGACCAAGATTCTGGTTCCATTTGTGATTGTAAGTCAAGGATTACTGGTATTCATAATTAGCTTGGTTGCTTTGAAATCAAGTAATTTTTCTATGAAAGAGATATTAAGCTATTAATATAGCATTTTTTTCAGAAACAAGTTTACTTAACTAGAAAATAGTGTCAACCCTGATTGTACCATTAGTTGTTTCCACTTTTAACTTTCCCAGAGCTTTGAGAGGTAGGAGACACCTTAAATAATTATTTTTAATTAGAAGTTTAGTCAACACATCTTGTGAATTTTGGAGGAAGACAAATAGTGATTCACCTCAGGACTTTTCTATTCATAAGATGCCATTTCCACATATAAAATTCAAAAATTATTCCTGTGCTTAAGTATTTATTAGGTAAATCATTGTTCTTGGCTGTCATAATTTAAAAATTTTGTATTTGTTTATTATGTATACTGATAATAAATATATATGTATATATATATATTTGAATGCATATAGGAGAAGTCCAGATGTTCAAGCAAAGGAAGAATTGTGGAAACACATTCAGTAAGTATTTCTGCAAGCATGGATATCTACTATTAAATAATATTTTTTATGCATGTGATTGTTTAACTTTTAAACTTTTCTTTTCCAGAAAAGAACTCGTGGATCCATCTGGCTTATCCGAGGATCAACTAAGAGAGATTCCATATACTAAAATAGAGTGAGTTTATTTATTGGACAGGAGTTGTGATGTAATATGTTGTTGTCCCTATACAAATCTATATGAGGACATAGTTTGAGGCTGATTATACAAGATTAAATAAGATGGCAAATATCAAACTAAATTTTAAAAGGCATAGATCTACTGTTTCTAACCTCCCAGAAATAAATGAAAATTACTAAGCTCCTAATATATATATTACATCCAATAAAAGTGAAACAATTACTTAGTTTATATTTGTTTGAGTTTCACTTGTGTGGGAAAAGTTCTGAAATATGGTATTGCAGAAATCCCTCTTTACCTGTAACTTAGCTGAGGTTGGCTATGATATGGGAATTGTAGTCCAATATTTTGAATGGCATGAAGTTGAGAAAGCCTGTCAAAGAGATTCCTGTCAGCATCAGGCACAGAAGTGGGTTTTGTTTGGAGAAAATCATCTTTTATTTAGGAACTTGGTCATTGCTAAGTATTTTGAGACTTGAAGTCGATGCATCCGGGCATTCGTTAGCGACAAGTACCTTCGGCAGTAAATTGCATGATAAATCTAAATGTGGGGGGAAACTCCAAATCTTTACTTAGGCACTTGAATTATTCACATCAACTTTAGTCCCCTTTGTTTTCGGTATGCCTGGGGCAGATAATGGATTTAGGTACGACTGCATCAAATTTGGCTTTAAGTGGTATCTCTACATTCCTGTGATTTTGTTATATATCCTGTTAAATAATAAGAGAGTTTTCATTCATGGAGACTTGGGGGGGAGACTTTCAAGCTACCTTCCATTTTAAAGTTTTAAAAATGTACTCTTCCTCTGATCATCCAAACTGACTCTTTGACTTCCTTGACCTTCTTTCCTCAGCATAGTATCACTAATTGCCAAAGCACAGTTGGTCCTTTCAGATCAAGCTCCAGTTTCATTCCAGTAATTGGCCATCTGGGATTTCCATGTGGTGATGTGAACAAGTGCTTCTGACAGGAGCTGAATCATGTTTTGCATCATAATGTGATTCTGACTCACCACTGAGTAGGAATAAAGAATAGTGGTACAGGCATGAAAGCTAGACATGAAACATTTCCTTCAGCATATTTATCTTTCAATGTGCATGCAGGCACATGTCGTTTTGTAAGGCTTTAATCTCAAGATAATACTATTGGAAATGTGTGAACAACAAGCGACTTTTAAGGCTGAGATAAATTATAAAGGTTTCTCAGTGGGTTCTGAATAATAATAAAAAAAATCATGACCAAAATGTCAGGATAAAATCTACTGGTGTGATCTCTCTGTCAGAAACATATTTTTGTGAGAAATTAAGCCTTCAGAGCTTACACAGTTTACTCAGTTTCCTTGGGTACAAGTTTTGGATCAAAGGTCTTATGAAAAGAAACATTTAAACCTTTATCATAATAGTTTATGTTATAACATTAGAAACAGAGCTACATGTATAAAATTCTAATTTTAAAAGAGATAATAATATTGCACTTTAGCCAATGTTAAAAGGATGGTTACGGAATAATTTATGAGTGAGTGAGTGAATGAATGAATATTTATATAATCTCATTGATTCTAGGTGACTTGCAGAGATACATTACCATTTTCCTCTTTTTTTTTAAATAAATAAATAATTGTTTTGGTGCTGAAACTTGGCTATGTACACATACACACAAATATATATATACATTTATAAATGAATTTGGACATAGATGTAATACTTTGGAAGAAATGCTTTTTCTATTATAGTCATCTTCGTAATTCTTATGAACAAATAATGATTTGGTCCTGGAAATTTTATTTCTTCGTTAGGACTCAAGGTGACCCTGTTCGCATTAGACACTCACATTCTCCTCGAAGCTATCGCCATTATCGACGATCCCAGTGCTCTGATGGGGAGAGATCTGTTCTGTCAGAAGTGAAGTAAGTATGTTAATCACCGAGGAAGATGGATGGTTGTTTGATAAACATTACAGTGCCAGTTACAAGACATGCAGCTTACAACAGAATGCTCTGGGAATATTTGCTAGAATATTTAGTTTTCTGGGAAATTATTCAGGGGCCACTCTGATCTAGCAACCAGGAGTGACCTGTTACTGAATTCTTCATTCTGTGATGACTGAAAGGGAATCTACACCCTTATTGAAGGGTGATGGACCTCATTTTCAGAAATAACATACTCTGCTAGACATTCAGATTAAAAGATAGGCCTCCTCATCAAGAATTTTTAATAGAACCAAGTAAAAAGCATGCAATTATCTCTGAAATATAGAAAGATGGATAAAAATCAGCAACCGAATGATTTACACAAATTCAAGCTCCTTCCTTTTATTTTATAAGCACTGTGCCTTTTGAGGTTTGCTTTCTTTTCCAGTGCCAAAGCAGATCTTGTTCCTCCTCTCCTGGTTACCCGCTCCTCGGATGCTCATTGTCCCACCACTGCAGTATCTCATCAGGTTAGTAATGGCTTTTAATCATGCTTGAATATTTAAAGTGCAAAGATGTTTAACATGGTTTTAATTTGTTCAATATTTGTTTACTTCAGCAGCGAAATGGATCTAAGGACAGCCTTTTAGAAGAAAAAATACAAACATCTATCAACAATGTGGATGGAAAACACAGTGCTAAGACTATAAAAATTGTTCCGGCATCAAGGCTCAAGATAGAGACCTGATTTTTATCACACACAAGACTCTGGAAGAATGCAAATCCCAAATCCAAATAAACACTTTTAGTTTGTGGGTTT